CGGGGGCGGGGGGGGGGGGGGGGGGGGGGGGGGGCAGGGGCGTCGAGGCGGGACGTGTACGTACACAAGTGGGCAGGTGAGCTACTGACCCTGGGGACCTCGGGGGGCCCTCTGGAGGGGCCCCCGGGGGCGCCTTGGGGGCCCCAGAGGGGCCCCATAGGGGCCCCCAGAGGGGCCCCTTAGGGGCCCCCAGAGGGGCCCCCAAAAGGGCTGCGCCCTTTGGGAGAAGGGAGATGGTTCGTAGCTGCTGGGGACCCGCAAGGGAGAGTCCGCCTTGTTTATATCTGCTGCTGCTGCTGCTGCTGCTGCTGCTGCTGCCATCTGCAGCGCCAGCTGCGCAGCAGCGGGCAGTCAAGGCAGGGAGGGCCCTGCTGCTGCACTTTTGTTAGCCCATGAGTGTGCAGCAGCAGCACCAGCAGCAGCAGCTGCTGCTGCTGCGGTCCCCGCTGCTGAGTCGCGTGCCTGCCTGGGCTGTTGCCCCTGGCAGCGGGAGGGGGGGTCGCAGCAACAGCAGCAGCAGCAGCAACAGCAGCAGCAACAGCAACAGCAACAGCAGCAGCAGCAGCAGCACAATTGCACTGCTCCAGAAGCCTGTGGCTGTGGAGCCAATCACTGCAGCGTCTGGGGAGGAGCTCAGCAGGCAGCTGGGGCTCCGTCTCTGCAGACTCGAGGGGCCCCTTTGCTGCTGCTGCTGCAGCGCGAGAAAGGGGCCCTTAAAGGGAACATTTTTCGAATTGAAACTAATCAGGTCAATCTTTTCAGGTTTTTGCTGCTAGATCGAGCAGCAGGGGCCCTCGCGAGGGCGCTGCTGCTGCTGCAGCACACCCCGTTGGGCAGCAGCTCGCGGCTTCTTTGCCTTCTCTAGTGCTTCTTCCTTATTTGCTGCTGCTTTTAAACGGAGTCGCACTAATTTAAAAGGCCAAAGGGGCAGCAGCGGGCTCGCAGCAGCGCTGCTGCTGCTGCTGCTGCTGCTGCTGCTGCCCGCGGGCTGTACGAACAGGTCCACGGCGACTGACCACCGCCCGCGCGCATGCAGCCATCACTTTTGTCTTTGTTGACTTCTTCTTTTGCGGAGTTCTTTCAGCCACTCAGATCTTTCCAGAAGACAGAAAATATCTGCCAAACTGCAGCAGATCGCTCTATGTTTCCTGCGAGGCAGCAGCAGTGCGGCGGCGCTCGCAGCCTCTTCCCCAGGCGTGCTGCTGCTGCTGCTGCTGCTGCTGCTGTTGCTGCCGCTGCTGAGGGAAGTGTAGTGTTTAAAATTGCCAGTCAATCTGTTTTACTTTCTCAATATGAAAAATAGAACGCTCTCGGGGGCCCTTGGCCTCCTTTGCTTCGCCCTCCACGCCGCCCCGCTGTCTGCACCAGCAGCAGCAGCAGCAGCAAGTGCAGCAGCACCCCAACGCGCACCAGCAGGGGGCCCCGAGCTGCACCCGGGGCCCCCGCGGGATCTTGATAGTCTTTTTGAGCTTCTTGCTGCTGCTCTCGACTCTGCAGCAGCAGCAGACGCGCAGACAGCCGCCGACAAGCAGCAGCACTCCGAACTAGCTGCAGCAGCAGCAGCAGCAGCAGCAGCAGCAGCGCAGACTGAAGAACCGGAGGACCCTTCGGCTCCCGAGGGCTACTCACAGGTGGTGGGGCCTCCTGGGGGCCCCCCCGGGGCTTTTCCTGAGGCAGCCCCGGGGGGGCCCCTCGAGGGGCCCCCCCAGGGGCCCCCCGGGGGCCCCCCTAAGGGGCCCTTTGTAGATGAGCCACTTATAAGTCCGTCGTTTTATTACCCTCTGTATGAGCCTCCTAATGGTGGGGAAGTGCAGCTGCTGCTCAAGGGGCCCCCCGGGCCCGGGGGGCCCCCCGAGGGGGGCAGGTGGGGCCCCCCAGGGGCCCCCGAGAGCCCCACAGGGGGGCCCCTGCAGCAGGGGGCCCCCTCGCAGGCGCAGCAGCAGGGGGGGGCCCCCAAGGAGGAGACAGCCACAGTGACGGAGACAGATGAAGAAACAGAAACTGAGACAGAAGCAGCAGAAATCGCCAGCACAGACTCCCACACTGGCCCCCCCCCGCAGGGGCCCCCCAGGGGCCCCCAGGGGGCCCCCAGGGGCCCCCAGGGGGCCCCCAGGGGCCCCCAGGGGACCTCCGTGGGGGTCCCCCAGGGAGCCCGTCCCCAGGGCCCCGAGTGCCCCAGGGAGGGGGCCCCCAGCGCTGCTGCAGCAAGACCCCCAGCTGGGGGGCCCCACTCTGCTGCTTCTTTAGGTTCTCTTGCTGCTGCTGCAGCTGCTGAAGGGGCCCCTCCCCCGTCCCCTTCTGCAGCAGGGGAAGACCAAACAGCAGCAGCAGCAGCAGCAGCAGCAGCAGCAGAAAGCATGCCTCGCACTGCTGCTGGAGAAGAGGCGTTGGCGGCTTCCGCCGCAGCCCCTGCGCTAGGAGGGGCCCCGGGGGCCCCCCGGGGGGCCCCCAGGGCCCCTGCAGCAGGGGCCCCCAGAGGGGCCCCAGGGGCCCCTGCAGCAGGGGCCCCTGGGGGGAGCCCGAGGCCACCGCGGGGGCCCCCCTCTGCTTCTCCAGGCAAACCGGAGAGGGTATCGGAGACAGGAGTACCCAATGGGGCCCCCAGCTCAAGGAGGGGGCCCCCCAAAGCTGCTGCTTATGGGGCCCAGGGGGCCCCCCCCGCAGGGGCCCCCACTTCGGGGTGGGGGCCCTCCAAAGGGGGCCCTTCAAGCGCTGCCTCTGGGGCCCCCAAGTCCCCGGGGGCCCCTAGGGCCCCTGGGGCCCCTAGGGCCCCTGGGGCCCCTAGGGCCCCTAGGGCCCCCGGGTCCCCTAGGGCCCCTAGGTCCCCTAGGGCCCCGGGGGCCCCTGGGGCCTCTGGGGCCCCGGGGGCCCCTGGGGCCCCGGGGACCCCTGGGGCCCCGGGGGCCCCTGGGGCTCTGGGGTCCCCCAAGACTCCAGGGGCCCCCAAGGTCCCTGGGGCCCCCGGGGCCGTTGTGTCCCGCGGGGCCCCTGGGGCTGTGGGCCCCCCGAGGGGCCCCCCCGGGGGCCCCCAGGAGGCGATGGTACCCTTTGGGAGCTCGGGGGCCCCCTTCATAGACTTGAGGGGCCCCCTGCCCCGCTGCAGATTAGGGTTTAGTGTTGTGTCTCCCCTTCGGAGTGGGACAGAGGTATATTCGCTGCAGCAGCTGCTGCAGGGCCAGCGGGGGGCCCCCCGGGGGCCTCCCGGGGGGCCCCCCTTGGGGCCCCTGGGGGGGCCCCTGTTGGGGGCCCCCGAGTCCGTCTCAGTCGCGGTGTCCTGCTCCCCCCGGACGCAGAAAATGTACGTGAACCTGGCGAAGACCCGCAGCAGCAGCAGCAGCAGCAGCAGCAGCAGCAGCAGCAGCAGCAGCGGGGGCCGCAGGCTGTGGGGGCTGGTGGGGGCCGCGTGGCAGTCGCTGCTGCAGCTGACGGGCTTTGGAGAGTCTCCAGAAGCAAAAGAGAAAAATTCGGAGGAGACAAAAGTGCTGCTGCAGTTGGAGACAGAGCTGCCTGCTGCATGCGAGTGTTCCCGCGCAGCAGCAGCAGCAGCAGCGCCTGTTTTCGCGGTCAAAAGAGCAGCAGCAGCAGCAGCAGCAGCAGCAGCAGCAGCAGCAGCAGCGGAGGCGGACCTGCTGCTGCTGCTGCGCTGCTCGCCCCCCCTCGCCCTCGAGTTCCCGCTGCAGCAGGGGGGCCCCCTCTGCCCCCTTCCTGCTGCGCTGCAGCAGCAGCCAGGGGGGCCCCCGCAGCAAGCAGCAGAAGTCCTCCAAGTGGGCCCCTGTCTCTTCCGAGTTGCTGCTGCTGCTTTTGTCTCCGTCGTTGCTTCCAAAGACTCCTTCTCAGTCACAGCCCTTGTGGGGCCCCAGGAGCAAATCACTGTCACCCAGCACCTGGGGGCCTCCCAGGGGGCCCCCCAGGGGGGCCCCCCGGGGGGCCCCCCCGAGGGCCCCCAGGGGGGCCCCCAGGGGGGCCCCCAGCGGGGGGGCCCCCACGGGGGGCCCCCGGGGGGCCCCCTGGACTGCCGCATGCGAGACCCTAGGGCCCTGATGTTGTTTAAAGTGCCCTCTTTGTTCTTTCCAGTGGCAGTAGACCCCACAGAATCTGAAGTTAAAAAACTTGATAAAACTCCCCTTAAGGGAGAGGCCCTTTACATCTACACGGGGGCAGCAGCGGGCCTCTCGGGGGCCCCCAGGGGGCCCCCCAAGCCCCAGGAGGGGGGCCAGCAGCAGCAGCAGCAGCAGCAGCAGCAGCAGAGGCAGCCGCAGCAGCAGCAGCAGAAACAGGAGCAGCAGCAGCGGCCGCAGCAGCAGCAGCAGCAGCAGCAGCAGCAGCAGCAGCAGCAGCAGCAGCAAGGGGGCGACCAGGGGCCCCCCAAGGGTAACAAACCCAACAAAAGACAAAAGGGGCCCCCAGGGGACAGAGTCCACTTTAAACAACTTTCGCTGAAAGATTTCCAGGCACTAGAACAGGACCCTGCAGAAGGACTTGCACAGGATGATGACTAAGGGGGCCCCCAGGGGGGCCCCTCAGCGGACCGGGCTCTTGGGGGCCCCTGGGGCCCCCAAGGGTCCCCAGGGATCCCTGAGGGCCCCTGGGGGCCCCTGCAGGGGCCCCGGAGACCCGAGGGGCCCCCAAAGTATTGCCAGGGGCCCCTTCGGGCTTTGTATGAACATGTTTGGCTTCATAGAGCTTTTGTGCATGCGCCCAGGCAGTTGGGGGCCCTGGGGCCCCAGTGGGGGGCCCCCAGAAACCACAGGGGCCCCAGCAGGGGGCCCCCAGAAGCCACAGGGGCCCCAGGGGCCCTACTGGCAATGTGGAGGCCCCCTGGAGGGCCTAAAAGGTCTTGGGGGCCCCCTGGGGGCCCCTGGGGCCCCTCCCTTGCCCATGGGTGCAGCGGGGCTGTGGGGGCTGCTGCTGCTGCAGCAGCAAATGAGACAGACTGCAGCATAGGGGGCCCCAAGATGTTTATGAAATAGAAAAGAATCCCAGAGGGGGCCCCACGGGGCCCCGGAGAGGGCCTCCCAGGGGGGCCCCAAAGGAACACGAAGGGGCCTCGGGGGCCGGGGAAGCCTCTCCCTGGGGGCCCCCAGGGACCCCCAGGGGCCCCCAGGGGCTCCCAGGGGCCCCCAGGGGCCCCTGGGCGTTCCCTGAGGTCTAATAAAAGGAGCTGGTGGCCCCGGCAGTTCTTTGTAGTTTTAAGGTCCCCTAGTGCGCGGCCACTGCACGGCGGGGCCCCTGGGGGCCCGTGGGGGCCCCTCGGGGGCCCCCGGGGGCCCCCGAGGGGCCCCCACGGGCCCAGTTTTTGCTTACCTTGGAGTATCTGGGGGCCCCCAGGGTCCCTTTTATGTGGGGAGGGCCCCTCGGGGGGCCTCCCTTTGCTGCAAGCGCGTGGGGGGCCCCCAGGCTTGCATTATGGAGTGGGTTGAGGCCCTGAGACAGAATTGTTGGAATTGGTTTTGCTTTGGGGCCCTTGAGGGCCCCTGGGGGGCCCTAGAGGCTCCCGCGGGGCCCCAGGGCCTCTGGGGGCCCCTGGGGGCACCCAGGGTCCCTTGGGGGCTCCTGGGGCCCCCTGGGGCCCCCAGGGGCCCCCAGGGGCCCCCAGGGGCTCCCTGAGGGCCCCCTGGGGCCCCCGGGGGCCCCCAGGGGCTCCCTGGGGGCCCCCAGGGGCCCCCATGGTCCGGCGTAGAGCTCAGGAGCCCCTTGAGTGTCGAAGCCGGTTTTTTTGTTTTAATGTTGAAGATGAAATTGGAGAAAAGAAAGAAGACAGGACTTTATTGCATGCGATTTTAGCTTTAAATGATTCAAAGACGAATTCAACAAAGTTTAGAAGAAGTACTTTTGTAGTGGATTTAAAACGGAGTTCAAAAATATGAAAAATTCGAAAAAATATATTTAATTTCAAATGCTGAAATGCATGCAAGAAGTGCGAGGTGGATTTGCAAATTAAAAAGAAATAAAATAAATAGAAATAAAATAAAAAGAAATAAAAAATATAATTAAAGAAATAAAATTTAAAAGAGGAATTAAAATAAAAGGGGATTAAAATAAAAATGAAATGAAATTTAAAAGAAATAAAATCAAAAAAGGCAAATAAGCAGAAAAAATGCGCAGGAGTACATTTATATATACTTTATATATAAATGTGTCTTATATATTATCATTTATATGAAATGATATTTTATATTATATATATTAATTATATTATTATATGTACATTACGCAGATATATTTTATTCATATGGAATATTACTATATATTATATATATGTATGTATTAATTATACTATCATTATTATATATATTATCATATATATGAATCTATATATAAAATAAATATATGTTATATATAACATATTTATATATAATATATATATATATATATATATATATATATATATATATATGTAATAAGTTTAATACATAATAGTTTGTGTGGTGTTGCCTCTTCAATACGTGCAAAGGAAATATTTGAATTGCGTTTGTATGTTAAGGTGCACATTATATGTACTTGTGTACTTAATAATATTTGAATTGTATTTATGTATATATATTATATATATATATTATTTACAGATATACATATATATATATATATATATATATATATATATATATATATATTATTTACAGACATAAATGTATATATATATTATATCTATGATATGTATATATCTATAGTATATATATATATATATATGTATATCTATGACATGTATATATCTATAGTATGTGTATGTATATACATATATATTTTATTTGTATATATATGTATATATACATATATCTATTATATATATCTCTATAATAGATAATATATATTTTATTAATAGATGTACATATATAAATATGTATTATTATATTTGTTATATATATATATATATATTGTAAAGATTTGAACAACATATATAAATAAAAATATTACAAATAAATGCATTTTAGTAATGCATCTGCCTAATGGCAAATTAGGGTTTTGAATATGAACTGCCTCATTTGAAGGTAAATATATTTCTAGGGTTTTGCATTTATAAACAATGAAGTCCCTTCAGGCAGGCTGCAAACCCTAAACCCTAAACCCTAAACCCTAGCAGTTTGAAACCCTAGGAGTTCGGACTTGCACTGTAGGCGGGAGACGCCTCAGAGCTCTGCCAAACCCTCTGTAAACCCTAAACCCTAAACCCTAAACCCTAAGCAGCTCAAAAGGCCTTTTTATTTTTAGCAAAAGGCTCAAGAAGTAGAAATGCAGTTTTAGGGTTTGTGAGCATCAAGCTGTTTGCGGGCAGTGGCGGCGAGGGTTTAGGGTTTAGGGTTTAGGATTGTGGGTTGTGTGGGTTAGGGTTTGGCAGACTTAAAACGGAAGCTGCAAACCCTAATTTTGACACAATTAAGGCTTTAGAAGTGGTTTAGCGTTTTTAGGGGTTTAGGGTTTGAGAAGATTTAGGGTTTAGGGTTTGTAGGGGCCCCAGTGAGGTCACCTGGGGGTGACCTGCACCGCCCTGTGCGGGCAAGG